GGGGGGGGGGGGGGGGGGGGGAGATAGATTGGTTTATTTAGAAGCCTTATTAGTTATTTGCAGCAAAAGCTGAATTACAAAGGTTTACAGAAATAATTAGTGTGTAGTATAAATTTACATCTAAAAATTCGTAGTTATATAGTTTATAGCACTTGCGTTCAAAAATGTATTTTTAAAACTGTTCGTTTTGCAACGTGGGATCACGAAGGGACGCTTTCTTCGGAGGTTCAAAGAAATTTCCGGACATACCATTGTTCACTAACTTTCCAATTCATGTACCGTAATTTCTTAGATTTTTCGGTAATATTTTCGTAAATTTATCAAAAATTATTACTTTTTAATCCGAGCCACTCGAATATTTTCGCTGATTACGAAAACGATTTGCCGACAAAACGGTTATTTTGCACAAAAGACGTTTTCAGGGGTGTGTGTGGTGTCGCCCCTTCCAACCCCCCCCCCCCCCCCCCCCCCCCCCCCCCCCCCCCCCCCCCCCCCTATAGCTACGACCCTGAGGAGTGCTTTATCAGATACTAAACACGAGTGCACAGCACGAGTGTTTTATATCTGATAAAGCACGACTACACGACCCATCTTATGAGTTCATTGGCGAAGTAATTTTAACTCATTTTCTACTAAAGGTCTTAAAATAACTGAGGAGAAATTAGAGCTACCTTTACATTCACATCAGTAAATGGTTAGACAATTGCTTCTTCTCGGAGAACAGTGGTGCCTAAATTACTTTGAATTTGTACTCGAGTAAAAGTAGAAGTAATTGACAATAAAACGACTTGAGTAAGAGTAAAAAGTCCTGGAGGCAAAACGTACTTAAGTAAAAAGTAAAAAGTATCCTTAAAAATACTTGAAGTACAAAGTAAAAGTGAAAGTACTATTGTCTGTAGCGTGTAGGAGGAGGACTTCTCCATTGATGGATTGAGATAAAAAAACACAAAACAGCACACGCATTATAAATATGCAATATTTCACGACATGGTCTACTTTCCAGACCCCGTTGAAGATATAAGATAAACAAAAGTTAGAAAGTAATGAAATACTTCGCCACAAAATGAGAATAACGAAGTAAAACGTTACTTCTTAAAAGGACTTCGTTCCAAGTAAAAGTACTCCAGAAAAGGTTTACTTTGTTACATGCTAACTTCTCAAAAATAGTACTCAAGTACAGTAACGAAGTACATTTACTTCGTTACTTGACACGACTGTCGGAGAAGGATGTTAAATCGTAGGTATCTCGATCCCTTATCAATGGACCATTTACATTATAGACTAAATTTTGATCTAGACAAAAATTTCATCACAGCTTGAAAGAGCATCACAAAATTAGTAATATTCCAAAGTTTCGTTGCGAAATGTTGTAAAATGCGGATAATATAGCCTTGCGAAGTTTGCCGTTTTTCAGTCATTTTGTATTAAGGCCTGTTTAAACGGATCCAACATTGTTGGACCAACATCATCCAACAATGTTACTATAATAGATAGGACTACTTCTCTTTCAAATCTTTTTGGTTAGATAAGCTTTGCTCAAACTCTAAACCTAGTCTTGACAAAAATATTTGAAAAAGAAGCCGTTTGGGCCATTATTTCAACAATGTTGGATGATGTTGGCCCAACAATGTTGGATCCGTTTAAACAGGGCTTCAGGCGCGGGAAATTGACATCCCAATCGGGTGTTGGGGCATCAATTTCGTTTTTGTAATACAAAATGACTGAAAATTGCAAACTTCGCAGGGCTATATTATCCGCATTTTACAACATTTCGCAACGAAACTTTGGAATATTACTAATATTGTGATGCTCTTTCAAGCTGTGATGAAATTCTTGTCTAGATCAAAATTTAGTCTATAATGCAAATGGTCCATTGGGCAATATAATAGCCTGTTTGGAAATCCGCTCACCAATGAGCGAGAAACTCAACAAACTCAAATCATATTGCAATTTAATTAAAATAAAAGACAATAAAAAGATAAAATGAGAATTATACATGACCAGATAAAAAGATAAAAATTAATTTTCATCATACGTTAACACGATAAAAAGTAATTTTCATTAAAATGATTCTGTGAATGGATATATATATTGTACATACAAAATGTTATAGATGCTTACAAAAAATATATTTAATTTATTGTACTTTCTATATATTGTATGTATTGTTTATAGTTGTATTGTTTATAGTATGTATTATGTATTGTTTATAGTATGTATTAGTTTCCTGTTTACTTTATGATACGAGGTGCAATCATCTCACCGTGACTGTAATATCTGCATTCCTTATCAGGGGATATCTTCATAGTTTCTGTGGATATATTTTCCTTCTTGAAACCAACTTCGAGCAGTTTAGGCATCTGGGTCTCCTCGAACATTTTGCTAATATCACTGTATGACCCTTTCAAGTACTCTCCCCATGAGGTTAGATTACAGTACGTTAATACACCACCTGCATGTACATACAAGCATGTTTGAGAGTTTTGACTGAACTGAAGAGACCAGAGCCACGTACCCTGAGATTACGGGCGGACCATTTGAAAAGTGATGGGGGTGGGACTTTTTTAACTTGTACGAATATTTTTTAAAATTTTTTGCTTGTGTCGATAATTTTTTTAAATATAATCCCTTGCACGAATTTTTTATTTCAACTTATAATTTTCTCTATTGAAAAGTCGAATTATTTTTTCTTTCTTTTTCCCCATGCACGATTTTTATTTTTGCCCCCCCCCCCCGCCCCCTCCAATCACTTTCCTAATGGTTCGCCCCTTAGTGGCAGACACTTTGCGAAATACAGTAAAACCCTGCATATAAGAACCTAGATTTTCCCCCCTAAACAGGTTCTTACTGTATGTACATCGTGCTTACCAGGAAATTGGGCTCTTAAATAGGTTCTTATTTTCTTAAGAAAAAAGCGGCTCACTTTCGGTAGGTGTGGTGTATAATTTATATACTGTAAATTATGCACAAATTATCTAACAGTCCATGATGCTGGAAAACATTCAGGGATGCCGGAACCACGGATGCCGGAACCCCAAAAATAATTTTTAGATGCCCTTTCATTTTCATTAGTGCCCTTTTGTTAAGGAATATGCCCTCTTGTTAACCAATTGCACCCGTTGCCCCCAGCAACTTCCGGCATCCCTGAAAACATTGCTTACAGTCACTAGTAGTTAAGATTGCCATGTACATTTTCACTGAAGAAATACAATTATTTGTTATTATGAAATAAATAGAAGCCAATTCTGTCTGTTGTAAGTAGCAGCTAAGACCCTAATCTCATCTCAATTTTGAGAGGGTTGACTTTGATTCACTGGTCAAATCTAGATACCCATAAAAAAGTTGTGAAACTCTTCCTGTACTAGCAGGTAAATTGTACGAGGGAGAAGTTTTATGTTGGAAAGGTGTGCATATTATTTTTGGAATTAAATAATTCTGTTCCTTCAACTGATGTGCAAGTGCAGCCATGGTCTAATTGTGTCTAAACTACCTGTAAAAAAGGTTAAAAATACTATACCTATGGATTGAAGGCCCTAATTTCTCAAAAGGTTAGTTGAGGTCACCTATGTATCACCTGGCAAAGCACCTTCACTAAGTGGTGCAATCCTGGACACTAACAAGGGAGCTGCCAAAGTTGGTGCTGGGAGGGGGTGGGGGGGGGTGTGACAAGGCGGGGGGACTGACAACATGATAAATATGGAAAATTCCAGTGTTCATTTTTGGGGGTCAGGGGCCGGTTGTATGAAGGCCGGATGGATTTTTCAACCTTTGTAAAATGCTTGAAAAACTGTGAAACTACGGATATAGACGACACAAGTATAAAAAATATTTAACTTATAAATACTAAACTTTAATACGAGTTATACCAATCAACGACTGATTTAACAAAGCTTGAAAAAATCACTATCCGGTGGATAGTGCCATCCGGCCTTCGTACAACCGGCCTCAGGCACTTGAGATCATCCTCCACTATACCTCTGTGGCACAATTGTTATGTAAAGTGCCCTTCAGTGAATGTTTTAAATGTATATGTGAAATATTACAGTGAACTGACCTGGTTTCAATAATCTAAATGCTTCTTTAATAAATGGAAACTGATGAGTATGCCATGTTTCTTCAGACAAAGGATATGTATCATATAAGATACCGTCGAAACTTCCGTCGTCCAATTTTGACACGACATCCTCCCACAAACCTTAAAATGTTGTTTTAATGTTAAGAAACAAAGATCATGTCTGCTTACAAGGCACATGCTAAGCTATTATTAATAGTTAAAGTGGAAGTCAAGTCCGTAATGTAAACAAACGGTTTGTTTACATTTTGAACTGCTGTATTTTTTAAAATATGATGTACTGTCTGAATATCTAACACCATTTTGGTTCGCTATGCTTCTAAATGAATATGAAATAAGAGTTTATATTCAGAAAAATTCGAAACATTAGAAATTTGGGCAATGTTTACATGAGAGGGCCCTCAAATTTTTATGAGCAGAACCGATGTGCAGAACGGACTTGACTTCCACTTTAAAATATTTGCATTGAGCAAATTGAGCACCATTGAGTGCCATCATTCTCCCACCAACATTGAGTAAATCATCTGGCATTAGACAGAGTAAGACAATAAAGTTGTGGGGTGCATTAAGGCACAATTCACCTTAAGGCGTAAAAAAAAAAATACCTGTGGTTCCGGTTTCATATCGTGAAAAAATTAGGGTCGGTAGGTCGGAAAAAAAAGTTTTTTTGAATATTTTTTTCATGGTTTTGGCGTTTTTTTGCTGGGCGATTTTCAGTAGAGTCCCGACATCAATGTTAACTAGAGATGCGTATTTCCTATGGACGAATTTAGGCAATTTGGTTCAATAATTAGTGTGACAACAGACGCCATTTTGGCACGCTGTATGAGCAGCCCGCAACCACCTGGAGAAAATAGGGTCGCACGGTCAATCACGTTGAAAAAATAATAGGGTCGGCAGAAAAAAATAGGGTCGGTCGGGAACCGGAACCACAGGTTTTTTTTTTACGCCTAATGGGCTGCAAGTCAGATATCAGGATTTAACTACTTGTCGACAAATACAAGCTATAATTATTTAACTTCGATCGAGTGAAACTTTCACTATAAAGTTCCCGACAAAGGGCCTTTGGCTTTGTTCGAAACGTCGACGTTTTGCTTGTATTTTTCAGGTAGATGAACCCATCTCCATCTGCATTTCTCTGGTGTTTTTGTTACTACCTATGCTGGCACAGATATCGTACGTTCAACTTAATGGGATAACTACACACATGGGCAGATGGTCTGATTAACCATTAACTTGCATCGTGCCCTAATGTGCCCTACAACTTTATTATCTTACTCTGTCTAACACCAGATAATTTTACTTGTAAAGGGGAGAGTGCTGGCAATGGGTTAATCAGGCTATCTACCCATGTATCTAATATAGCCATGTCCATATTCATGTTGCCACAAATAACGTTGAATCGACGTTATTATTATACAAAAGCTGTGCTGTGATAGTTACTTTGGAAAATTGTCAGATTGCCATGAGATAACGTTGATAAGTTCACATAAAAACCCACCCACTCATATAACGTCGATTCAACGTTATTTGTGGCAACATGAATACGGACTTTGACAGTAAAATAATATATGGTTTATCAGGGCATTTTTTAAGAATTTGTCAGTGGGGGTCTACAAAAAGGGACCATACTATACTGACTGTGGAGAGATAACAGATGGTTGTTGGTAACAAAAAGTTTGGTGTGGTATCGCATTTAATAGTAGCGGGATCTGGGGGTATTCACCCCCAGAAAATGTTTGTATTTTTCTACCCCTAGGACTGCAATTCCTGCATTTTCTGAAACAGATTTTTGGATATACAGCATTACATTATGCTGTCGATAGACTGAACCTTCAGTGAACTGTACTTACATCGTATGTTTATGTAGATACGACAACTCGGTCTTTAAAATTTTGCGTCTCTAGATCGTCGCAAATGGCATTTTCAAAGTCTTCTCTACCACTTTCGTTAGGCCCTTTCATTAATTCTTTCATTATGATTTGCGAGTCTATGCTATCCGTGAGTCAGGATGGATTATTGTGAGAAATGTTGTTATTAAAATATTGATTACAGATTTCAAATACTTCTAGTTTCAAATTCAAATGGTGTTTTTTTTTGGTGGGGACAAAAACTATTCCATCCCCCCCTCTTTATAAAACAATGGGTTGAGTGCCCGCTGTCCCCTGCTTCCTACGCCCCCTGCGGTCACTAACTTGTTTAGCCGAGCCTTCCAACAACTCAAATTTATAGGGTCTGGGATATGCAATCCACTGGAAAATGTTTAAAATCCAATAAGGTATTTACAACACAATGTTTAGCATTAAAGATAAAAGGCAGGACATAAGATTCACAAATTTCAGTTACTAGAATATCAAAGCTTCCTTCTAAATTCCATGTTTTGCTTATATTTTAGAGAAAAGGGACTTTGACTGGAGGGGCCAAAATGGTTGAGTGGGGGGCACCATGGGGGCTTTGCCTCCCCCCCCCCAGTTATATAGTTAAAAAATGCCCTGTCAGGTTTATATATTATGACAATAAAATAACTCCATAGTTCAATATTTACAATCTAAATTACCTAAATCCTTGAATTAATTTTATAATTTGGCAGAAAATCTATAGTATGAACATGTGTATAATTATATTTCAAGGCATGCAAATATAGCCGTTTTGACTTGGGAAGCGAACAGCTATTACATATTTACATGTACTTATAAAAGTGTAAAACAAGGTCGCGACCTTGGTTAATTCTTAATGATTTCGCAATACTATCTGTATCATATATTCTATCTAAGCAAAATTAAACACAGTTGGAACACCTTTATTTTGTGAATCTATGTCCCCCGTAACAATGGGTGGCCGTGCGTGACTGCCATCTCGCATCAATTCGACCGGGGGCATCAACAAATAATATTGAATTCAGAGAATTGAATTCAACACATGCAATTATTAAAATCCGACGATCGAACGAACGCCTTGGAAGACCTTTACCTTTCATGGGTGTAACTTTCGGAATAGCTCCATCGGCAAACTTCTCCAACTTCTTATACACGTCCCCGTTGCATTCAATAATAACATGCTCTTGAATATCAAAGCTTTGAACCGCAGTTGCGGCAATGGCCATGCCAAACCCGACCTCCAAAACTCGACCGCCTTGGGAAGTGGCTATTTCGGCAAGTTTATGCATATACGGCGTTTCCCAGCGCTCCATTACTGGTTTTCCCATGATTTCTAAATGCGTATCTGTGTGTTTCGTCTGTGCTTTGTCCCAAACATTCTTATAATCCTCGCCTTTTCGGTATACCGCTTCTTCGGTCGCCATTGTTAATAGAATTTAGACAATGGACTGAGGTTAGTACTAAAAGCCGGAATGTGGGACACTGGGAAATCCGGAACGCCGGAACAGAAGAACCCGGAACGGCACTCATGAGCTTTCTTGAGTTTCATGTGGAATGGCTACAAAATCAATCTCGTAGTACGAGATTGATACAAAATACATGCAAAGCGTTACAAAGTTATGGCTCTGAAGTTATGATGTACATTTCCCGCCAAAATTACAGTTTGCAATTTCATATATACAACCTGCTACAATCTTTATTATTTTTATTTTTATTATTTCAACACTAGAACCTGTAACTTTATAGTTTATGTATACTTTTTAGAGGATATGTGGTACACAGTTTCCTCCACCAAAATTTAAGTTTCGATCACATTGTACAAACAATAAAGTTATAAATTGCAAATTCTAAACAAAGCGTTGGAAATACAAACAATATAGTAAATAAGCAAATAGCAAGTTGTATGTTGAAATCACCAGCTGTAATTTTGGCAGAAAATGTACACTATATTGACCATAGCTTTGTATTATTAAAAACACTTTGTATTTTGACTTTTTGAGTATCCGCAATCCGCATGAAATTCAAGCCATTGAGTAGCGTTCCGGGTTTTCTGTTCCGGAATTCCGGGTTTTTCATTCCGGTCAGTTCCACGTTCTGGCTTTTCTTTGGCAGCGACTAAGCCAATGGAATGATCACCATGCGAGTTTCGCAACAACTGAATATGCCTAATTTATTGGTGTAACTAGTTTACCCACAGGGTAGTGAATGCTGCCTTGGTATAGCATTGTTCCCATTGTTCCCATCAATTTCCCGTTTGTAATACAAAATGACTGAAAACTGCAAATTTCGCAAGGCTATATTATCCGCATTATATTATATGGTCCATTGGGGGTACATATTCATATTTGAATTTCGTGTTCACAGACCTTAATTAATTAAAAACAATCGATTTCAAAAGAAATTAATAATGCAGAACTCGATGCAGAACACGAATATATGAGTATGGCGCCCAATTATCGAGCTGGTAACGCCGCTGGCCCAGAATTGGGACACGTCTCTATCCTGTGGCCCTATAGGACCGGTCATTAATAATGGAAGGGCGGTGGGTGAGAAAGTCTCTCCCCTTTATCGTATCCCACAAAATATTTCACCTTTTTGTAGTTCTTATAAACGTAATTTCCATAGTTTATTGTGTATATGCAGTTCACCATAGGATTCGGAGTAAATAACAACCATTTTGAATACTGGTCCTTTAATTATTTAGGCTACACAGTGTCTTATACCAGTACTTGTCCCATTACCTATTTTACACCAAAAAATATAACGAATTAAATGTTGGAGAGGGGGAGTCCTAAATTTTCTAGATGAAGTTGGGGGCATCTTGAAAATAAAGGTCTTGCAATCGGAGGCGGCTCTAAAAAAGTTCAATATTTGGTATTTATCACTCACCGCCCCCGCCCCCAATTATTAATGACCTGTCCCAACTAGGCTTCTACAGATTATGCTACGAAAATGCTGAAATTGTGCTCTAAAAATGCTCAAAAGTTGCTCGAAAGTTGCTCGAAAATTGAAAAAAGTTGTTCCTAAAACGTAACTCGTAAACGAGGTGTGCAAAGGGGTGCAAAGCAAGATATGACCGTATATTAAAGTCTATATTAAACACTGTAGATAAATACAATAATAACAGTTCATAACTAACTATAGTTTATAACTATAAAGTCTTACAACAACTTAATAGGTAAAAGGCCATCAAATCAGTTTGAGATGTTTCACAGTACGTTTTACTTCCTCTGACTATTATTATATCTAAGCATTAATGTAACTTGCAGTTATGGGGGTTGTTATGGATGTTTGCAAATATGTCAAGCTGCTGACTGCCAATAGGATCTCCTATTGTAGAAGTAATGGTAAGCTAAAAAGTTTGTCAAATGGCCAAGGATAAGGAAAATATTTTGGAGCCTTGTCGTGCTATTCTTTCATATGACCAAGAAAAAGAGCTTGAAGAGAATATGGATCAAGGGATTCAAGGCTATCAAGCATTTCATTATCTTTCTATAAATTATGCATTTTCTGGAGGAAGTTGCTTGAAGTTGCTGATATGATAAAAAGTTGCTCCAAATGCAAAAAGTTGCCAAAAAGTTGCCGAGCATAATGTATCGATCAATTCGAAACTTCACCATCCCCCCCCCCCGGGCATACCCCGGGAATTTGACTTCAAGTCTTCTCCAGGGAGTAGGGAATTTGACCTTCTAGGTCTTCCATGTGGTGGGGCATTTGATAACGGGGTGGGGAATTTGAACCGGAAGTCTTAAAATTTTGCCAGTTTCGCGTGCTTCCTGCATCCATAGAAAATACTTCGCATTGGCGGCAAATACAGTTTTCTCAGATTTCGAGGGAAACGGCCTCAATTTTGTGAAAAACTGGCTCAAAGAAACGGGCATGGAAAACCTATGTGCTTCATTTGAAGATATGTACTACAAAATTGTGTAAAACTGTTAAATTTCCACAAGGTATCCAAATTTTTACGTGAATTTCGCTATCTTGTCGAAAAACATTTCCGTATATTTTGTACTTTTTGTATTTGCTGTTTCATAATTTTCATATGAAGGTGGGGCATTTGAACGCTTAATTTCTTGTTACAGTGGGGGCATTTGAAGACATTTTTTGCACAGGGGGTGGAGAATTTGATCAGTCAAATTTAAAAAGTTCAAATTCCCGGGGTCGGCCCGGGGGGGAGATGGCGAAGTTTCGAATTGATCGATACATAATCTGTAGAAGCCTAGTCCCAACTGTCCCTATAAACCGTAGATCACAACGGCCACTGAGCTATGCGTGAAAACTGGAGTGCGTGCTCCTTTTCTCCAATTTGAAAAAGCGCGGGAACCGCGCGACAAAACATCATTAAAAGGCCTAGGGCCACATGCGTAGGGTAGTGGGAAATTTAAAGTTTATTTAAATAAAAAGTTTGCTCGAAAAATGCTCGAAAAAGTGCTTTTTTGTCTGGATGACTGGCTGTCTCATGGCTTCAATTTAAATGAAATTTTCTGGATTCTTCTGAATGTCGTGATATTTGTATTTGAACCGTACCGGTACCGAAGCAAATACAAACTGAAGTCCAGTGGCAGAGTACTGTATAGCGCAGTGCAGGTATTTATGTTGTTTATTTAAATACGAAATAGTTTATTTTATTCAGTATATTCTTGCTAAATAGCCGCAACTTCGAGGGGTAATTTTATATGTGATATATCAGTAATATTTAAATAAACAAGAAAGCGTTTATTACCGGCATATAAAATACCAAAAAGTGTGTTGTAAAACTAGTAACAACAATGGTTAGCACTATATTTTCCATCCAGCAAACCGCCCTATGCGATTTCTAAAGTCGTTTCGTTTTGGATTTTTTTATTAATTTGGTTAGGGTTAGGGTTAGTGTTAGAGTTTGGGTTGCAATTATAGGGTTAGGGGTTAGAGTAGGGGTAGGGCATAGGTTTGTTACACCTCAAGATTCCATCTTCCGAAAATGACATCAGGTCAGTTTGCTGGATGGAAAATAGTGCGGCTTTTCATGCAACAAACATGCTAATTTACATTTTACACAAATTGACGTCCATGCATGTCCATATCGATGACCATGTTCTGCACTCAGAAAACTAGGTGCTATTGTGGCAAGTTTTTTTCTACCTACTGTACTTTCAGCAGTTTAGATGTTTTATATGTTGGGAGCTTCCCCCCAAATTTCAGGGGGGGGGGGTTTATTTGGTGGGGGGGGAATTCCCCCCTCCTACAGTCACAAACCCAGATGTCATTTCCTACACTCACCTATTTCCAAGTCTAGCTATAGCCCCCATCCCCCCTTTCACTTGGGTGGCAAAACAGGAAAAAAAGGCAGAACGAAAAATATGAGCCGTCGAGGTTTGGCAAACATGCGAGTCTGAAGAGAGGTTTTGTAAAACTTTAATTTATTAACTTGAGCTATATTTTACTAGCTTTAAACAATAACTTCAACTCTTTGTAGCTATAATCGTACAGCTATAACCAGTGACGTAGCCAAACCTTAATTTTGCGTTGGGGGGGGGGGGGGGGGGGCAAACCTCGTGCTGAAAGCGTGAGACCGTCTAGGAGGGTTTGGGGTCCCTGAATTGCGATTTCATGCATTTTGGGGGTGAAATCTAGCAGAATTCCGAAGATTATAAAGTACATCGAAGACATGAATTTTTCCAGACATTTCTACTCGGAATTAAATAAATTGGAAAAGTCGCATTGAAAAATAGGAGGAGGGATCAGTGTCACCTTATTTCCTCTCTGTGATGCTGTGGGGGGGGG